GCTAATAAACATAGCTGAACTGAATTTGCATTGTCTCTTGGAGTTCCTTGGGCTAGGCCTGACAATTTTGCTACAGTAGGCTCCGTTCTTAACTATGGGTTAAACTGGGCATTTTTAAGCTGGGGACTACCTGTATATGGTATATGTGGAAGCCATTCTTGCTTAAATTTAATTAAACTTCTATTATGTATATATACAGGTAGCCCTCGTTTAGCAAGTACAATTGGGATGAACAGCAATGTTGTTAAAGAGGTTGCTAAGTGGGAAATCACATGACCATGACTGTGTTTTCCTTTTCCCCACTCCCCTCCCCCTTTGGAATGTTTACCCTGGGCTGGGGTTCTACATCTTCTACATCTTATTTCTTATGAGAATTAATCTGATATAGAAAGAACAAAGAAAGAAGGGTGTCCATAGATACAGCTATACTAAGAAAGAAAAACAGTAAATAATGCAAACTAAAGAAAATTACCTTTTCTAAATATATGAGCTTTATGGCCACCTACCATTATTACTGGACATTCTTATGAAATTATCAGAATATGATACTATTTATAGACAGCCTAATGTCACTACCCTTGAATTCTTGTAAATACGTATTAGCAAAATAAAATAAATAATCCCAGTAATTGTAGAGAGAAATGGTTGCAATGACTTTTAGAAACTCAGATAGCAAAAAGCATCCAGAAGAAAGTAGCCTAGCTCAATTAAACAACTTTAGGGTAGGGGACTAAGATTTTATTTAATACTTTTATTATTTTTTAGTTTCAGTGTTGTGGAATTTTAGGACCGGAAGATTTTCAAAGTGCTGAATTTTTCAGAGAACAACAGCCAGATGACTTATGGCCACATGCTTGTTGTACTCGAGCCATGCCCCCAGAACCTGATGCCATTCTGGATGTGACGCTCTGCCAGCAAAACAAAGCTGGATATCTCAATAATATAGTAAGGATGTTTGCTTATCTGCATGTTATACAGTCACCTTAATCTTGTTTTTATGTACTTAGGCAAACAATTATAGAAGGTAATTTACTGATAACAGTTAAATAGGTCCTTTATTGATATAATTGCTGTCCTGCCTTGGACTCTAATAATGTAAGTGTCAGCATTTGCATTTTTAAAATGCTCATATGTATGTCTGCCAACAAAGAATGTTGAGTCTCTTACAAAGTTTAGCATCTTATTTGTCAACACTGACTCGAAGGTGCACACACACATAATTATTAAGAGAGACAGTTCTGTCTAGTGGTTAAGAAGCTGGATTAGGAGTGGGGAAACCCAAATTCTAGTTGCACCTTAGACACAGAAACCAGCTGGGTGACCTTGGGCCAGTTACTCTCTCTCTCAGTCCTAGGAACTTTTGATATGGGTTGACAAGACTTCATGGACTTGTCCATATAGTTGCCAGGAGTCAAGACTGATTTAAAGGCACCCTGCTTCCAAAAAAGTGCTTAAGATGCCATTGAAATATCTTTGATCATCTATTTTATTTGTGTGTGTCAGCTTTACAACTTAACAGTTGCTTTTCAGCGTATACAGTTCAGTTCAGTTTGAAACTACCAGTATCAGATAGCCCAAATATGGTGCTTAAGATGGGCCCTACTTTTCTTTTGAAGAAATTATCAGGACATGCAGAAAGGATAAGAAACAATTCTCTGCTAACCAGGGATGTAGTATCACAAGCCCTTCCACAAGCCAACATCTTGAGACAGATTCATACTATGTATTTGGCTATTTAATTAATGTTGATGGGGAAATTTTCATAATTATTCTTTTTGTTTATTGCAGGGCTGCTTCTCTACAATTGAATATTTATTTGATTGGTATATGTGGACTCTTGTGGGCTGTAGTTTAGGAGTACTAGCTGCTGAGGTAAGCAGGGTTGAGTCTATATGTAAAGGAAGCCTCATATTTTCCTTGGGGCCTCTCTATTATTAGGTTCAGTAATGTGTTTCATTTGGCTTGATTTAATGTGTAGTCTTTCCAGGTAGTCATGATTTGGTGCAAACCATGGCTAACACAAATTATAGCTTCAAATGATCAGCAACAGGGCTTTGATGTATTGGTTTTTCATTTGCAATATATACCTTCTGAAGATTTTCCATAAAAGATGGAATATACATTTATTAAATAAATAAATTTTACTTTGGGTTATAATCATGGGCACAGAAAAATACTTCCCTTGATATTTCAAAATCTCTTGGAGGAATATATCAGAGTATACTCTGAAGTAAAATTTTATTTTAGTGTGAAGTAACTAGCTCTGGGTAATAAGTACTCACACCTGTGGGGTGTGGTGGGTGGATGACAGAGCAAGGCATATAATCAATGCAGTGTTGGGTATTTTGAGAGATGCTCTCGGTTAAGATGCTGACTGATGTTTGTAAGTATTGTAAATATTGTACAGTAAATAAGGTCTGTTGCTAAGATAGTCTGAAGGCTGTTTCTTTGGCACACGGAATGCCACAACGCGATATATTCTGACAGAATAAAGATGTGATAAAGCAGCATATAGATGGCTCCACACAAAAAAGTGGAATCTTTGCAAGTATCAGAAAGAAAGAACTGGATTACAGCCAAAATATTGGGGGGGAGGGACTAGTTTTTTCCTAAATATTCTGATTTCTTGCTTCTCCTTTATCACATCAGACAAAATTTCCTTTTGGAAAGGGGAAATTTGCTTCTTAAATGTTTTTGTTCTAGCTTAAACAAAAGCCCTAAGGCAGCCCTAAGAACTAACACATCCATCTTGATTTTTGTTTCAGATATTTACCATGGCGACTGCATGGTACCTGCATCGCAAATTAGATGATTGATCTAATTATCTAATTCTGGAGAAAATTAAACATATAATATTGGGAAATTTTATCAGTATCTCATGTTTCAGTCAAACTAGATAATCCATAACTTGCAGGAATGGGCCCAGCTGGGAAATCATATCTTCTCCCAAGCCTTTAGGGTAGGTACAAGGAACTTGCAGCCACGGTATAGCTGTGGAAATCCTAAAGTGGACCACCAGTGTCATCTTCTCAAGCCCTGCCCCCACCTTTTCACCTCAGTGCTAAGGAAAGCTTCCTTGCCAGCATGAGCAGAGAAATGCCTCTTGCCTTCTAAAGCTCCCCTCCCTAATACATGTTGGCCCACTGGAGGAAGGTATATATGGGAGACTCATAGTAAATTGAGCTCATACTAAGTATTTCATCCCTGCTTTAAATGCCTTGATTTGGTACCTTAATAGTTCTCATTTTAGACCATCAGTGTCCATGTTTTATCTGCATTGCTGTGCTTGTAGGGACATACTAGTACCATTTGTACATTGCAACATTTGAGCGGGCAGTGAACAGGTGCTAGGTGCAAAAATGAGTAAGTGGTGACAGGAACTCAGAGAACCACTACCTTTACTGCTGTTTGGTGAAAGGAAGCACTTGATGGCACTTGAATGTTACAGCAGTTCTGGCAGTCTATTTGACTGCAGTGCATGGAATGGTATGAGTGTGAGACAGAGAGATTATCCCATTCCTTATCTCAGGCAATAAAAAATTATCAATCAGCAACTTTGTCAATTTAACTTGGGAAGTTGTTCAAAGGGGTCTATAGGTAGGTTCAAAAAAGTCAAGATGGTGATTGCAACTGCGTGATCAAAGCTGTACCCCCTTTTTACTTGTGTCATGGCCACCATCTTGACTTTTTGAACCTACCTGTGGACATCCCTGGAGTTGTTCCTTGATTATGGCAATACACAAACATGATAGATAAATAAATACACAAAGTGAAACTCAGAAATATCCCTTAAAAATAGAATAAAAGCAAAACAAATGCCATAGTACTATTATTAACAGCCTGTAAAACAGTATACTACAGTCACTCATGCCGTAGTCACCTCATGGCTCTGCCCTTGAAGACTACTTGAAGTTTCAACTGGTCCAGAATGTAGTGGCATGGGCAGTAATAGGCATGCATCAGTGAGTTATGTTACACTCACCACCTCAAGATCCTCATGGACCCAAGAAGTTGGGCTTCCAGGTGAGGTTCTATGGCAGACTAGACATTTCTGAAGAAGCAGAGATGGTGCTGCAGTAGTGAATGGCAGCCAGTAGTGATTTCTGGCCAGCAAAGTCTTTCCAGATAAAAGAGAGACTAAGAGATTATCCACCTGCACTCTGGACTGCTGCTCCTTGTAAGGAGACTGCAGGATGGAATTCCTGTGGTTTTCTCATGAGTAGAGTGGCAAGGGGTCAAAGAAGAAACAGCACGCTTGCATGAGCAAGCACAGCCTTTTAAAGGACACTAAGTTCAACCAAACCCTCACTTTCTTAATCACTTTCAGATACAATCGATTTACAGTTGAAAAGAAGTCTTTGAAAACAGCGGGACAAAAAGTCAAAAGAGAGGGAAAAAGGAAAAGCTTGCCTTTTACTTTCATCTTTGTAGTTGATTTACTTTTACTTTTGGATTATAAATAAAAGAACAGCGATCACCAGAAAAACTGCAAGTCTTGGTGAGGGAAGGAGAAGATCGTTGGAGCAACCAACAAAAATGGAATTACTCCAGAAATATTACAGAAGATGCTTGAAGAGATGGGGAAGCAGGTATCTGAATTTGTCAAATCTATTAAAAGTGAGCTGGTTGCCTGTGAAGTGAAAATGGATGAAAGGTTTGTAAATATGAAAGAGGAGATGAAAGAAGTTACCAAAACAATATGAAGAATCTATAGGATAACTTACAGGAGAAGTTAAATTAATGACAAAGTAGAAATTTTAGAAAGTAAAACAGAAATAATAAACAGATATGGAAAAAGACTTAGACAATCTGGCATTACTGGAATTGAGAGAAAAAAGAATTTTGCTTGAGATTTAGAGCAGTTCCAGAGGATCCTATAGAAGACACCAGAGAAAAGGTTGTTCAGTCTTTAACAAACTTTTTGGACTGGGATGAAGATGATATGGAGGCAGAAATCAACGAAGTGTACTGTATAGAATCAACATACAAAATCAACTAAAGCTTGATGAAAAATATTCAAGAACTCTTTATCAGACAGGATGGATAAAAAACAACCAACCAAATAAACAGCCAGCCAACCTATTAGAATAATGAAAATGGGATGGGAAAGAAAAATTATGGCAATCTTAAACTAAGAAGACTTAATGGCCACATTTTTCCTCCCTTTTTTCTCTTAACCATCTGAGCATCCTGACTCTGTTTCAGTACGCTACATGTATCTTGTAGTCCATGGGATACAGGCAACAATAAGTTGGCTTCCAAGATCCTAGATTCTCTAGATCAAGATTGTAGCTAGCACAGCTTAATGTGAGCATGCTTGGATCAAAACTGATGCAGGGAATGCTGCATGCAACAGGCGTATGACTAAGGCGAGTTATCTAGTCTATACTATCTCTGTCCTATTAAAAATATTATACAAATGCTTCCGTTGACCATATCCTTGTTAGAAAATGTGGTTAGTATCTATGGGTCCACCTGTTGATGATTGGGGCATATGGAATATTCTGACTATCATTACCAAGAAGAGTAATGGTAAAGAGTGTGGATTAACAAATGAAATGAAAGAAGCAAAAATAAATTCATTGCATATGTGAAACAAAGAGAAAGTGGAAGGATGAAAAAGATACGAATAAAGGTGGTACAATCTTGTGGAATGGAACTGATGAACACATATAAGGAAGTGAAGGGGTTTAATTGGGAATAAAATCAGTGGCATCTGCAGCAGGTTCAGTGAAAGCAGCACTGTCATAAGCCTTACTCCTTTTGTACATGCATCACAAGGGGCAGCAGCGCTTGTGGCACAGTGGCAAAATGCTGCTTCGATCATTTTGGCAAACCAGCAGGAGCCTGTGGACACCCATGTCTAAAATGTATGCTCCCTGAAACTGAGTATCATATAGATTGTTGTATATATGAAAGTAGGAATGTATATATTGGTGTTAGTTGCATGTTATGCTATAGTGTACAGTGATAATGGGATAACAGGGATGACTTTGGGAAAAAATAATGCTTACTAATTAAGGAATATGGTTGGGGTAAGCGAGAAGGAATGATTACATTCTTTTAGGAGATATGAATGAATGGGATGGAATGAGATTAGAGAGAGTACAAAAAAGTTATTGGGTCAATTAATGAGAATGCTGATTGGTGAACATCTGTCTGAAAAAAGATCTGTTTATTTCAAATACATGCTTCAACCTTAAGTCTATTTGTTTGTATACATGACAAAATCACAACTGATTGTTTATGATGGAAGATATGAGGGTGATGAGAGATTCTGAATGTAGGACAGACAAATGTCAAGAGAGGAACTTAGGAAAGATGGACATGTACCCAAACTAATCATTATTGTGACTTTATTGTTAACAGGGAATGCTGCATGTGCACAGGTATAACTAGGTGCTAAGCTAGTCTACTCTTTGTAGATTAGTCTGGTTGGAATAATGCCTTTTGTCGGCATGGATGTTATGGAACATAGGCTGAAACTGATAGAATCCAACTTGCTTGAGAAGAAAATGGGAAAATGTGGCCTTAAGAAGCAATGACTCTTAAGAGATACCAGTACTTTGGCTGCAATTGCTAAAGCTCCCATTTGGAGGATGTGACAGCAGATGCCGCAGGCTTATAATCAAGTCATTATATTCATATGAAGCAATTGAAGGATAACAATTCTAAATGTTCTCTCTTCAGCTGACATGACTAGCTTTGGACTGAGATGAATGAGGACTACCAGGGAGACAACAGCTGTGATTTGTTCACTAGAATTTCCCACAATTTCATGATCACAGTAAAGTTAATTAAAGGACTGTAGTACAGTGTTTTGGGTTACAACGGGTGCATCCACAACAAGCATGTAGTATGAGTGGTTAGGAGGAAGAAATGTCTTATGATCATTGTTTCCTGTACAGATAATAAGAATATTGCATCTCTGTATAAGATCAAGGCTGGAGCTAGCCTTGGCAATCAGTTTCTAAAAGGCATTTGTGCATGAGAAGGAATTTCTGCCTGCAGCTGAAATTAAACCGAAAGCAGTGATCTTAGAAATACATTGGCAATTAACCTGTAAAGGCCTGTTTCCAGAAAACAGACTCTTGAGAAATATTATGTATAAATGTAAATGGTAACATTCTAGGAATCTATGTTTTGTAAAAATGGAGGGAAAGGAAGTTTCTGTAAAAAAGAAGGGGCCTCCCTAACCAATACATTATTTAAATGTTGTACTCTCCCTCGGTATTATGCTTTCTGAAATGGCTCACAACATCAAAATTTTATTATTATAATGAGAACACAGTAACAAAATGAAATAAAATAAAAACTGCAGCAAAAAGAACAGCAAAGTAAATGCTGGCTCCCTCAGTTAAGGTCTATGAGTATTGGTAGTTGAGGCACAAATCCAAAGCAGATGTCCCCAACTGGTATTTGGACTTGTTCCCATGGTATATGTTATGTATGAATTTTCAGCTTAGTCTTCAAAAAGAATATTAAAGCTGGCAGGTTTTGCAATCTTTCCCAAGCTCTGTAAGAATTCCATAAATAGAAAACATCAAGCAGGAGGATGAGTATAGGGAGGCAAATGTTCAGTTGTATGCATTTGTGACTGAGTGAGAACTACCAATCAGAGAATAACTTCTTTTACTTGTACTTAAGAGTAGTTTCAACAGTGGCAAAACATATGTGAAGCAACTGAGTCGTGTCTGGCACAAGGTACCTTTTCTGACATTGGATCTCTTAAGTTTGAGAATTTCACTTTTCTCTTCTCTGAGATGTTCTCTATGTCTTAGGAATTGTCTTACTCTGGAAACCAGCGGCACTTCTCATCCTCTTTGTGTGTTTCCAAACAAGTAGTTTTCTATGAGATCTGTTCAGTGTGAGACTTACACCAACTCTCAAGCTCCACCCGTTTCATTAATAGTTTTCAGTTGCATTTGTGCATTCAAATTTGATGCTGAAAAGTTGCGTGAGACTGCAGATGCAGCACCTGTTGGCAACTCATAAGTGGTCACATCTGTCTCCAGAATTGTGTGGCTGCTTTAAAAGTCGCCCAGCAATGGCCATGTGATCCTGGGAAAAGATATGGCTGCTTCAATGACTTGCTGACAAGAAGTCCTTTGAGCTCTGAAGCAAATTTTTGGAATCCAATCCAATGCATTGTACAGTCCTACTTTCTATGACTTGTCCACACTCTTCAGCTTTAAGTATATTCTGTATTCTGATTCAGATACACCTCATTCCTTTAATTTCTTTGGCATATTATTTCTTATTCCTTTCCTTCACTCTGCATAACATTACTTACCTGAAAGGGGATAATGTGATGAATATGAATGTACAATCCAAACTATATGCTAATATGTTGTGCAAATTCTTCCAGAGAGACTCTTCTCAGTTACACAGATCCTCATTTTCAGCCCTCTGCAAAAGCTGCATTACACATTTTGATACAAGCAGCATAGCTTATTGTTGCCTTAACTTTTCTTTAGGATACATCTATCTGCGTGTTAATTGCCCACATGGGAAGTCACCTGGCCACTCTAAAAATTTCCTAGTTATGCAACAGCAAGAAAGAAATATACTTCTGAGATTTAGAGAACAATGTCATCTTATTCCAAGTGGATTAGAAAGTTTGGTTTATATTAACCAGGCAAAAAAATTCAGAAGCAGATAGTATAACTTAACCAAAGCAAGTTGCAATAGTTACTCATATTATCTAGCTAAGAATGAGGAATGAGGCATGGATTACAGTTTTATTTTATGTTACAGTTTATATAGCTAACATGGAAAATCTGTATCTATAAATATTTGGTTATATTTTCATTCAAATATGCCTGAGAACTGAGTACAGACAACAAAATTATATAATAAAAAAAAGAGAAATCCAAGCACTGAAATTCAGAATAAATGTCCCAATGGCAATCAATTTACTGTACAATGATTTCTTGTAAATCTGCAATGGTTTTTAAAAATATGGATGCAAACTCTCTGTCCATGAGGATTTTGTAATACCTATAGAGAGATCGGAACTGTTGTTAAATGGTTCCAGGTGTGTTTGTTTAAAGAAAGTTAGAAAAGCTGAGTAAAATGGAGACTTCAAAGTGCTCAGTAGAATGCCTGCAACTTAAGGTTGGGTCAATTGACTCTGCTGTAAAAAGAGTTATAGAAAACTTAGCTCCTCAGTAAGTTGGTTCAGCTGCCTTGCTTTGAGCTTGGACCAGAGAGTAAATTTACATTCCAGATGACAATATTACACCTTATGCTAGGCTGGAAATGCCTTTTACAGTTCTTGAGCCAACAGATATATTGGATTTACAACATCTGTCTCCACAAGCAAGTATGGTCATAGGCCAAGCTGTCTAGGGATGTGTCAGCCCTATAAGGTAGATCTGACCAAGAAACCAATGCCATGTAGGGCAATACTACTTTATTGTAAAGCTATACCACAGAACCTTGCAAGTCTAAATATGTTTCCCCTCCCTCCCTCTATGTGAACTAGGGAGGAACTTGTATGAGATATTTTCTCAAGTTACTTTCTTGACTCAGGCTCAAGCCCCTTTTGTCTGACCATTGTCTAAGTAGCAGCTCTTCCTCCTGTCCTTCAAGGCCATTCCCTCTTCCCCCTACAGAATGATATGAGTTCTGGAGGACCAAGGTTGGGAAAAGCTACATTAGATTATGTGATAGTAGTTTAAGTACATTCATCAGTCAGCATTTTATGTAAAATATATTACACAATTATAATTTTAAATTAGAAAGATTCATTAAATGTGTGACTGGACACATTTTGTTAAAAATATCTAAAAATAAATATTTGTCCAGCAGTGCTGAAGTGCAAGATATTGTTCCTATGGCTTTAGAAAAAAGATTGCACTTCTGTAAAAAATTACTTCATCTAATTATGATAAACAGTTAGTTACTCACTGGCATTACTTGTTATACTGTCATTTTCAGGGCCATGTTGCAAGGATGAAAACTATGGAAGTGATTCATTGGCCCTGCTTGCTCTTATAGTTATATTTAATTCCTTATTGAAAACACACACACACATCCAATCATTTTTCTTTCTGTGGCTTCTCAGTTCATTTTAAGCAATAACAATGATGGGTCTGGAGCAAGATATCTCTGAAGTCAAAGAACACGTCCTTGATGTTGACTTAGAAGTTAACAGATCTAAAGTTACAAATAATGCTTCAGGGAACTTTTATCACATCATCTTCATCTTTCCAAACTACCCTTTAAAGATACTTTCCCCATTAAACAAAAATGCATTTACACTGAAATGACCCATGAACCCAATGGAGGGGCAGCTCCATAACATTCCCTTTCTAGATTGCCACGCATATGCTCAGATTCAGCACTGACCACTTGATTAGGACTGGTGATCTATCTTACTGCTTCCTACCCTTGCCAGATGTGGGCTCTGGACTGAGTCCAAGATTGTGCAGTTCTTACTGGAGGATATTTCCACAAAAATGTCAAAGTTGCTAGGGTCTGGTCCATTGCAATTGTCATCAAAAGCCAATGGGCTCCAGTCTAGATCAGCCATCTGTAGTTTAGGGGATTAGAATGGTAGTTTTTTAATGTTAGCTACTGCCTTATTATTTTATTATTTTTGTTTGATTTATGCATATACCTTATTCAATTCTATATATTCTACTTGTTCTATGTGCATTTTTTTTTTTTTAAATTTGGTCTCTGACCACAAATAAAATAAACATTTTCCTCCTGGGATACTAAGTTTGGATAGCAGAAACATGGGAAGTTCTTTTTGAAACACAGTTGGTTCCTAACACTACCAGCTGGGCTTATTTCAGCATCCTATCTTATGTTGTTTCTCCATATGGAGTTACAAAACTCTCCTGTTGAGGGGAGAATGAAAAGGAAGTTGGGTGCAAAATAACCTAGGTAGGAAATAGGGAACACCCAACTGTTAGGATTTTCTCATGGGAAGAAATGCACCTCGCTATCTTCAAACATTGTTGTGGCTAAAAAGTCAGGCCATCTGCAGTTATTTTTGTTAGTTTGCACGTATACTGCTATTTACTGCCACCTATCGGCGTTTGTATGCTAGTTACTCAAGGGGTGGTGCATAGTGTCAATAAAGTGTGAGGATTACATGT